CCAGACATAGACATCAAACGGCAAAACATATTCAGTGTGCAGTTCCTTTGGCATTAGGGCAGGCATATCTAGACACTCTCCAAGGTTTGACATAATGAAAAGTACCACCATTCAAAAGCTTTCTGATGCGGGTCTTGAAACAAAGCAGAGAAATTATAACCGTTAGTGGCCAGAGGTGCGAAAACTCTCTCCAGAGCTACTGGAAGCCCAATCTCGGGAACCGGAGAAAGTGGAGCAATATTCTCGCCACGCCAAGCAACAGCCTAGAACAACCTCAACCTATACAAGTCACCACGTAAGCCATGCTACTGATGCTGGACAGTTTTTCAGTGGATGCACAATAAACAGCAACATACACATTAATGTAAATAAACAGCCAAATAATGGATCAATGCTCTCTGTCTAATATGTTCGCTCGCTGTTAGTGTTGTTGCATAGCAACCACCTTGCACTATGTTTTGTGCAGAAGGCAACGGAGGGACTATTTTATTTTGAACATCATTATTTACTATTAAAAACTATTTAAATTAGAGTGTGTATTTTTCTTTCATATTGCCACACTTGGTAACCGTTTTATAAAAGCAATAGCTCACTTCAGGCCGTGATATATGCTCATTATATCACAGCTAAGGGGCGTGAATTCGGCCCGACGCGTGAGCTATTGCTTAAATATATATATATATAAATTGAAGTAGTCCTACTTCTATGGTAAAACATAACAGCCTGATTGTTTATTTATCACTTGTATATAGACTCTTATGGCACTACTTCTATTCTATTTTATTTTATTTACTTGCACTATTTATCTGTGTTATTGTGTTGCGCTGTTGGAGGAGTCTGTGACCTCAGATTTTCATTGTCATAAATACACTGTAACTATGTACACATGACAATAAAAGCCTTGAAACTTGAATCTTTATGTGTTAATGACTGCTCTTTGTTTTCTGTAATCTCGAAGGATAACAACACGTTTAAGGTAGATGACGTGTTGAGAAGTGAACAGGACGGGAAATGCAACAATGTGTATCGGCACAATAAAACATAGCCTAATAATAAAAACATCGTCTCTGCTTATCAACCTCTCTGAGTTTACAGCCTGCCGTGTTTCGGTTCAAAGGTCATCACCGAGGAGAAACACGAAGCCTCTTATCTGGCTCTCTGACGGTTTATTACAGCGAGAGCTTCCTCCTGTGAAGAACCTGTTTTCCTAACAGCAGCTGGGTGTGTTTACCTTGACGTAGATGACGGGGGTTTTATACGGGGCGATGCTGAACACAGAGGCTTTATAAACCTCAGAGGAGAACTGTGGAGCCTCGTTCACATCCTCCACCTCCACTCTGACCTGGAAGAGAGCACAGCTTGTCAAAATACTGAAGACACTGACAAGAAATTAAAAAAGTTCTAAGATTTCTTGTTCTTTTTAGAAGCCGTTGACAAACACCCGAGATCTTCACAGAGATTTATTTATACAGTTATCACTTTAAGTACATTTTCCTGGTTTTTCCTACATACTTTTATTAAAGGTAGGGTAGGTAAGAATGGAGAAACCAGCTCGAGTGCGCTAGAATTTGAAGTACGCAGTGGAAACCAATCTGCCCCTTCCTTCAGACTTCCTCACAGAGCCCCTCCTCCAACAGACGAACACGCACATGACCAATGAGGGCACGAGATAAATTTGTGCACAGATGGAAGGCTGACAGGCAGGTAGGCCATCCAGTTATTTTAGCCGGGCCGGCGCAGATGATTGGTCGTGCTTTTTACAGCGCCACGGCTTCACCAGATGAGATATTTTAATGTATTTATGGTCAAAGCATTTAATTT